TCTCCCTGCTGACCAGGACAGTTGTTCTCTACGACGTCCGCGCACACATTTCAAACCATTGGCAAAATCATATGTCTTTACCTCCAGGTATCGCTAGACCGTTTACGGGTCGTCTTGCTACCTGCTTCGTTAGTAAGTGGTTATGGGGCAGTTTTCTCTCTGGTACTGACTTATTCTGGTGGTTTTGAGATGACCTCATATATTTCGTACCCCTTTTTTCTATTTATCCGTGGATAACCAACTTTCCCACGATTGTCTTGTTTAGCTCAAGTACAGTACCTATTGGGAGTCAAGTTACCCTCTTCGCCAAGTACACTTTTTAAATAATCGTGAATCTAGATAATGCTTGCCAGGCAGTTATTTCTTCACGAGGTTGATTGGTTGGTTGGATGTTTTACGCCGCACTCAGCAATATTCCACCTATATGACGGCGGTCTGTAAATAATCGAGTATGGACCAGACAATCCAGTGATTGATATCCACGCAACTGAGATCGATGACATGCTTCGACCAAGTCAGGGAGCTTGACCACCCGATCCCGTTAGTCGCCTCTAACGACAAGCATAGTCGCCTTTTGCCTTCACGAAGCGGAAATCTGAAGATACCAAATCTGGTGAATACGGAGGATGTTCAAAGTCACAGTCATGTATTGCAGCCATGGCGACTTGTGGACAGGTGCTTTAGGTGCCTTTAGTGAGTTTCCCTAGGACGTTTAGCCTTGATATTCTCACTCAGTTACCTAAGCAGATTTGCATTATATTGGCCAGTAATGGTCTGATCCTTCGGTAGTCCATCCTAGCCATCACATTGCCAGCTGATTGAATAGACTTTGCCTTCTTCTTCAGGGACATTAGATGTTTCCACTGCTTTGACTTTTGTTTAGTGGTGAACGTACGTCCCATGATTACAAATATACTGCATCGGCTTCCAAACGACGTTAATTCACACGGGAGATGATGAACACGGAGCGTTTCTGATCCGGAATCAGGAGCCTTAGAACCCAGCCTGTTGAAACAATTGTCATGCCCAGTTCATTCCTCAAAATGTTCTCAACTCTTTGATGACATATGCCTACAGTATTGACCCTGTGAAGCGTGTGATTCGTCGATAATCCATCATGATACCATGTATTTCATCAACAGTTGCCTCAGTGGTTGCAGGTGAAGGTCTTCCTGATTTTGGATCATCAAGGCTCTCTCCTTCCCTCCTGAACTCCGCTTCCCATCTCTTATCAGTGGAGTCCCCCGCCGTGATATTGCTGGAATATTGCTAACAGCGGCGAAAAACCAAAATCACTCACTTCCTCACTCTTAACAGTGGCAAAGGAATGAGCACCACCCTTGGCATGATTCGCAAGGATGACCGTTGGAGGACCTTCAGTTGGAGATGCTTCATGTCAGATGGGGAGCCAAGTCTGTCCATTTTCATCAACAGATAATACCTGGTCACTTTGATGCCTGCCGGCATATGCTGCCTGGTAAAGTAGTTGGTTCAAATGAAGCCTGAAGCATGACAAGAATTGCTCTTGAAACAGGCAACTGTTAAGGATGTATCGCATCCTTCGTAGACAGACTCATATCTTTTTCTACATTTTCAGCCAAGTCTCGTATTTCACAAACGCTGAGTCAGCGAAACCTTCAAAGTGGGTGAAGATATGAAGGAAAGTAACCCTTTGTCGGAACTATCTACAACCCTTCAGTCAAATGTACTTAAACTGATCAATAACGAAGCCCAGCTTTTGTAAATGACCAAGTGACAGTTGGTGCACCTATTGCAACTGTACACGTTAATGATGATGATGATGATGATGATTATGAAGGATGATGATGGTAATGGATGATGATGATGATGATGATGATGAATGCTGATGGTAATGGATGATGATGATAAAGAATGCTGATGTAATGAATGGTGATGATGATAAAGAAGGTTGATGGTAATGGATGATGATGATGATTATAAAGAATGCTGATATAATTTGATGATGATGATAATGATATAGAATGTTGAATGTAATGGATGATGATGATGATGATGATGACAATGAATGTTGATGGTAATGATGATGATATAGAATGCTGATGTAATGAATGGTGATGATGATAAAGAAGGCTGATGGTAATGGATGATGATGATGATGATGATGATAAAGAATGCTGATGTAATGGATGATGATGATAATGATAAAGAATCCTGATGTAATGGATGCTGCTGCTGCTGCTGATATTGAGGCTGATGATGACAATAGGGGTGGTCATTAATATATGGTTACCGATTTTAGAATAAATATTGAACGTTGAGATAAACGTATTCGACCTTCAAAGATTGAACGGTTACTAGCCATGAAAAGATTTCTTTGTATAAATGCCCTAATGACATTTTATCCAATCCTATTGATCCCACAAACGCTTAGTATATATGTTTAAAGCTAAACTTATCTTTTGAATAAATATTTCACTCATTACATTCATGTAGCCGAAGCAATCTGTCGACACTGTCCTTGATAACAAAATAATCATTACATGGTTGATCAATTCCCTCCGCAGACAAACTAAATAACTTCATATAAAACAAAATTATTGAGTTTTTTCTTGATTGGTACACTGCATCATAACCACAGCTCTGCTAATGGTTATTATCCCGTCAATTGATTTGCACGTTTAAATAAGTTCAAACAGCAGTAAGTTTTCATGGACATGATATTATGTTTAAAAAAAAATGTTTTACATCAATACTGATGCACTGTCTCGCTAGGTTCCTTGTTATACCTTGTTGGGCGTTTAATGAAACTGATTTGTTTGTGTCCTGTGATTCATTAATGTTTTATATTGATAATCGACATTGCAAAGCATGCAGGTGAGTAATTCATTGATTTCTGTTTAAGTAGAATTCGGCTGTGTCATGGTTCTTCATATCGTTGTCCTGGCAACCTATAAGAAATCACACCGAAACGGCACTGCAAGTATAGGACAAGGAAAAGAAATTCATAAACCATATTCCTCTGGTCATTGGTCAGTTTATAATTCCATAATTTAGATATTGTTCTTGTGGCGTTAAAGGACAGTGACAACGCTAATGTTCACGTTCTTGTTTTAAACATGTTCATATGGGAACAGAAATGCGTATGTAGAACCTTTGTTATAAAGTGTAAAAATATCGCACATACGGACATCAAATAGAGGGGCTGTCCCCGCACGGTTAGCGCAATAGCAAGTGATATGAATCCGTCACAATAATGCATTAACGCAAAACACAAAGTGCCATGGCAATACAGGCGGTACCAGTCCTAATAGAATTTCCAGATTTACATATTTCCGGATTTACTAATCATGGGACCCGTGAAGATCCGGGGTAGAATAGGTCTTCAGCAACCCATGCTTGACGTAAAAGGCGACTATGCTTGTCGTAAGAGGCGACTAACGGGATCGGGTGGTCAGGCTCGCTGACTTGGTTGATGCATGTCATCGTATCCCAATTGCGTGGATCGATGCTCATGATATCAATCACTGGACTGTCTGGTCCAGACCCGATAATTTACAGACCACCGTCATGTACCTGGAATATTGCTGAGTGCGGCGTTAAACAACAAACAAACAACTAATCATGGGTTGGGAGTATTGTCGGATTCGTACTGATTATCGTTCTTGATTTCACCAAGGTGGTTAGCGTTTAAGACCTTTGTTGCATATGGCTTTCCTCCACATTAAATGGGAACTATTCTCAACATTCCGTCACCAGTTTTAATCTTGTTGTAATTAGTGCAAGTGCAGTTAGACCAAATGGTTTTGCACGACTTGAATAAAACTTGCTTGATTGACAGTCCCCACTAGCCTTGCTCCAATTTGACCTAGAAATATTGTTCGAAGCGACTCAAAGCCCAACTCACCCTACCAATGTTGACAGACCTCAAAACAAGAAGACGCACACACTTTCAAGCTCAATGACGACGGCCAACCCCACCCATTCCCCTCTCTAGGCATCCGGCATACCACTTAATTTGACTTGGCATCCGATTTAAGACCTCTTGAATCATATCAGTGTACACAGCCTGTGCAAGTAAATGCGTGCTCATACGCTTAGGGCTAATTATTTTATTGATTTTCACTCTTTTTAAGAAAATAAGGGCGAAAAATACATTTTTACTTTGAAATATTGCGTATGAGATAAACATTTCATGGCACTGCGTACTGCGCTGCGTATTCTGAATACCACTTAACAGGGTCCGGAATCCTGCGTACAAGGGGACTACTTCCACAGTGGTAGTGCCACAGTGTGTCATCAAGACTGGGTTCCTGACGAAGGGTAAATCTGACTGTGTTGTGTAACCTCTTTAACGCTCGCCACAAGCGATATAGCACATGTACACTGTAGTCTATCGTACAGATCCTGAAATACATGAACACAAAAACTTCCAAGCATGTCTACAATATTTTGGCAAGTCTAGATCTTTTCAGCTCAAGTCTGAAAATGAAGATATTACATAAAATTCTTAGGAGGCAATTAGAAATAAAAATATATAGCATGACAAGTCATTCGTCACTCTTACATACAGGAACGATAAGTCTATTTTATTTTAGACAATAAGATTTTAAAATATTTTTCAACGTTTTTAGAGGGGCTGATAAATTTGACATCAGTTATTCACTATAAATGTATTCCTTTGTCCAACAATTGAATTTCCTTCATCTAATACTTTTATTTTATTAAATGCGAATAATTCACGTGGAGCAAACCTTTTGTAAAACATTTTTTCCGGATCGATATTTTCTCCGGGGAAAAAATACATGAGAGGATAATATTGCAGACAGAAAACTGTTCCTCGACCGATTCAAATGCTGCGAAAATTAATATCACTTGTCGGACAGGATATGCGGGTTAAACCGCTCACACGCCCTACTTAGCATTGTATGGGTTACGGAAATCTCCGATCATAATCGCTATCGTATAGCATGCACTGAAACGGGCGCTAAGGTGTGCGAGTCTCGCTACCAACCCAACTCGCGAGATCGGAGCATGCCAACCAAGTAACTAGGGACGCTAGTGCCCGGATGCAGTCGGTTAGCGAGGACACTTGTGTCAGAAAGGGAAAAGTTTCAGACAGTGAAAATGACATCGCTTGAAATTCGACCAGCTCGCGATCTCAACCGAAGAGAACCACCGGAATGGGGAACAGGGAAGGCTAAGGAGCATGTAGACCCGTGGATACCCCGAACTCCAACTTGGCATTATTCGTAAGTATTGCGGTAGAGAAAGGGCCCACCCGACTGAGTGGTATTTTTATCAGTTGTGTTCATGCTGGATTATCTTCAATGAGTAGCTATGTACTCAATAATGATCTTAGTATTTTTTCACAAAGCTTTGATCGTGTATACCCCTTCGTAAATCATGACAAAGGTATGCATATACCATTTATATGGCCTTGATATATATGATCATAAATACATCATTTTGCTTTAAATAGCGACGAGTATGATACGATTTTAGATGTGCGCGGTATATTTTAGTATCCAATTATTTTAAATAAATGCAAATATTAAACTTTAACTAATTAAAAATATATATTTATAAATGTATTCCATACCATCATGTACTATGTACAGTTATACGCAGTATGTCATTCGAAAACAACCCGTATGGAACACGTTGATGCAGATGTGATCGATCATAACAATGTTGATACAGACAATATGTTCTGTTTACTGTCCTGGTCGATAAACTTGGTAAGTTCCATGTACACCCAGTTGCCATATCAGGATAACCCATGTGTATATATATGCTTCAGATCAGTATTCGAGTATTAGAGATAATCTTATTGTTGGTCATATGATTTCACAGTCACCTTCATTTATTATTATCCATACGAAGAAAGATTAATATTTAACACCGACATACAAAGTCTGACATTGAGGAAGTTTGGGCTATTCAGTGGAGTGAGGGTATGAATTATTTATGTGACTCCATGTTTAACATGAGATACGAGGATACTTAGATAGCTACATACCGCGATGATTGGTGATATGTGATTAATGGTGTTGTTGGAATGAATGCAATGTTTATGTAATGGGTTCCATCGTTCTAGATAAACAGGAGGCTGATGCTTCATGCGTATCGAGTAATGCCAGTGTTATAACCAATAATACTTAACATGGGGCGGATGTTTACTTCATATCTTGACGTTAATGTTCACGTTACAATAGATGCTCGTGCTATACATAAAAGAAAATACATACATAAAAAATATCAGAGATATATAGAAATAGCATATATTGTAATATGTTTTAGTCTTTCGACAGGCAGATTTTTACCTATAAAATATTTTCAACTCAGTATTACTTTTAATCTTACGACAGACTGTAAAATACTATCCTTCAAATTTTCTCATGTCTCATGACAGACAGATCGTCAAATATCCCAATACCATCAGTTCAATCTTTGTTTATGTTAAAAAATGTCAACTATCCAAATACCATCAACTCAATCCTCGTTTACGCTAAATATTGTCAACAAACCAAATACCATCAACTCAATCCTTGTTTACGTTTAATATTGTCAACAAACCAAATCCTTGTTTACGCTAAATATTGTCAACAAACCAAATACCATAAATACAATCCTCGTTTACGTTAAATATTGTCAACAAACCAAATACCATCAACTCAATCCTTGTTTACGCTAAATATTGTCAACAAACCAAATACCATAAACTCAACACTTATATACGCCAAACATTATCAACGAAGCAAATACCATCAAGCCAATCCTTGTTTTTGCTAATTATTGTCAACAAACCAAATACCATCAAATCAACACTTGTATACGTTGTCTTGCGTCCTCGACAATCTAATCACCCATTACGGAGAAGACTTGACTAAGAAGCAGGAGAAGAAGAGGAAGAAGATGAAGAAAATCAAGATAATGATGACAGCAACCACAAACCTTTATAAACATGTTATGTACCACTTCTAAAAAACAAATTCATACCTTTACAAAAAGACCGCTACGTATATGTACCTAAGTCTCATACGATTAACGGTAATCAGCAGGTAGACAAAACGTTCCACCTGACGGAACATATTGTAACATTTAAAGTAATCGATAACGCTCAAGGTGACGCCAAATCCTATAGCTCTCAAGCATGCCTACCAAGGCAGAACGACCAATGCTAGAACTCCTTTGTATTGGCCAGATCGTTTTATAACTGTCTCCAACACTTCGGCAATTATACAATATATCTCTTGATACAGTAGCTCTGACAGTTACATATCAGTGGGCATGTATCTATCAGTTACATTAACAGACATGTTAACCTAAGTCTGTCTTTGAAGCTTAGGGTCTACGTCACGCCAACGTACTATTATCTCTCTGTAAGCTGAACGTATAACGTATACTTTGTTGTTTGTAAACCGCTTATCCAATTACACACAGTTGGGGCATTTGGTGCAAATCACAGTATCCTCATTCTGGGTTTTATTGGGAAGACACACTTATATACATCTTCTCCCTTAGTCGCACAGGATCCGCTGATCGTGGGTTTGAATCCAATATTTGCCCCGATTAAGATCGATCCGTGAACATCCGGGTTAGAATAGGTCTTCAGCAACCCATGCTTGTCGTAAGAGGCGACTAGCGGGTTCGGGTGGTCAGGTTCGCTGACTTGGTTGATGCATGTCATCGCATCCCAATTGCGTGGATCGATGCTCATGATGATGATTGTCTGGTCTAGACTCGATTATTTACAAACCACCGTCATATAGCTGTAATATAGCTGAGTGCGGCGTTAAACATCAAACAAACATTATTTTTCTGTAATATTCTTCACACGTCCATCTTATCTATGTAGGAGAGGGTGACTTACAGGGCAAAGTGGGTGGTCCTTTAGGGTAAGACAGAGAGAGGCCTCTCAGCTCCCCAACCTTGTTATACAATGCGCAATGTGTTACCAACTGGCCCTATTGAGCTACAAGTGTTTTCCAATTGCTTGCTTCCTACAATCAAGGGCGTTGTTCACGATAAACACACAAATAGTCCAGCTTGTGCCCAGGTGCTCAATTTGTCCGATAAAGTAGACGAGAGACGCCGTTAGACCGCCGTCATATAGCTGGAATAATGCTGAATGCGGCGTTAAACAACAAACAAACACGATTGTGAACCTTGGTCTGTCGGCACCGTACCCAGGACGTGTTCATCTTCATCACTTCGGGCTTTCCTCCCACTTCAACTGACACAGCGTTACATAACCCAAATACTGTTCAAAACGGCGTAAAACACAATTCATATACTCGAGTAATACATCACCTTTGTTGACACGCACGTGTACGATCCTGAAAGCTTATCCGCCAAAAAAATACTGAAATATATTTGCTGGAATCTGAATTGTCAGATTCTGATCGTTTACGCCCTTGTACAAAATCTACATTCTACCTTTCTATTTTCATTATCTATTTTATAAGCTCTAATTTCATTTTGAAGTTTTCCGTGATTGTGTATTATCCATAAGTGTCATTGGTATATATGACGTATAATCTTGAACCTGTCTGAAAAAACACCTATGCCAAATCAGTACTGTGTCTAAACTTGGTGCATTAATGCTTACTGCGCGTAAATACTCACACGTTCACCTTTAATCATTCATTACGTCACCACTAGTTTTTGACAATTCTTTCATTGCAAATGCAGACTTATCTTTAAAGTTCATCTGTAAGGTGGATTATTGAAAGTACAGCTTTTCAAACTCTAGTGCTGAAACCTGACATGTCAATAATGTCTCCATTAAAAAATAAGATTAACCCCGGACTATATAGCTCGTATATGATAAGATTGACCTTAGAGAATGAATGACAGGTATAAATGTCATGCGATTAACACATATCTAAAGAGAGCAATATGTCAAAACGTTGTTAATATCAACCAACATGTATATTGCAAGGCCAGAGTCTATCCCAGCCCGCCTTCCATTCACCGTTACATTCTGCCTAACCCCTTAAAGTGCCGCTGGATGAAAACGTTGTTAATATCAACCAACATGTATATTGCAAGGCCAGAGTCTATCCCAGCCCGCCTTCCATTCACCGTTACATTCCGCCAAACCCCTTGAAGTGCCGCTGGATTAAAACGTTGAATTTAATATACTTATAATGAACACTTCGCGCACACATGTCACCCGTTGTCAACGACCACGTACCCAAGCGCGAAGAACGTCACTGAGGTAAATGTCACTGTGGCCGAAACCTTTGTGCAGTCAATACTATCTCGATCGACTATCAGTGGTGCATGTTATATATGGCAATTGTAGATGCGTGGATTGATAAGGGATCATTGATCAACTGTATGCTATAACATTTTGAGTAACGGCGACCCTCCAATTCAGGGCGTATTTATACAGTGGTATAATGTACTGTGTATTTGTCAGTCACTGAGTTAGATTCGACTTATATCAAAAGATCACCTAAAGGCGTTTTAGTCACATCAAATACAAATTATCTTTTACAAATACCATGTAATGGATCGCCCACCACATCCTTTGTTTGCCACCCTCCTAACGCAGTCTGTGATAACTAAATAAGGAAGATCTATAAATATATCTTATTTAATAAAACACGAACACTGAAAAAATGATCCAGGTTTTCAACAAAACAACTATGCACCGGTGAGCGCACTGTCAGGATCGCGTTGTCACGACGCCTTAAACGACATATCGGGTTAACCAGTTTCCAAGTATCCCACAAGAAACCTGTTAATTATTTCTATTTTATATAATGTTCAGATGAATTAATTGTTTTATTAATACGGTGTTATTAAAAAATATTTGAACTGTGCCGGTAAACTTAGCATATTTCGAACATATCGCGGAATGAATAAATACACTCCTTTTATCTCGAAGATCGTAGACTTATATTGCTGGGGGAAATTTCGTGCAAAAGGGCTTGTTACTTCGAGAAAAGCATATATTCGTGTTAGAGGAGTTTGTGGCTGATTGAAAAGGCCTGCTTCGTGTCAGACAACTGATTAGATACTCAACAGGGCGTGGTTGGGATGACGGTGTTTCGGGATTAACCAATAATTTGTGTTAAAAGACTTATAGAATACTGAACACCATACCATTGAGTGAGTGAGAAGGGTTTTATGCCGCTTTTCGCAATATCCCCGCAACATCTAGGAGAAGGACACAAGAAATAGGTTTTACACATTTGGGGATTCGATCCCGGATCTACGACGGTATATATAGGCTACC